AACTCGCACCCCGACCCTAAACTAACCCTAAACCAACCCTAAATACACCCTAAACCAAACCCTAAACCAAACCCCACACCGTAAACCGTAAACCTCTAAACCTAAACCAACCCTAAACCAATCCTAAATCAACATAAACCAACCCTAAACTAACCCTAAATACACCCTAAACCAAACCCTAAACAATAAACCCTAAACCTAAACCAACCCTAAACCAATCCTAAATCAGCATAAACCAACCCTAAACTAACCCTAAACTAACCATACATGCACCTTAAATACACCCTAAACCAATTCTAATCCAACCCTAAACCAACCCTAAACCACCACAACCCAACCACAGGACACACTCATATGGTTTTGATCCAAACCAAATCCGCTCGAGGTGCAGAGCGCATGGATCAGCGGCAGGTGCTGCTTGAAGGCATCCAGGTCCTGCGCTCCCGGCATCTTCGGCCGCCGAACACTCGGTTTTTCGCCCAGCCCCAAAAACAGGAGACGGAAAGTGGTTACAAGCGGTGAGGCTTCCTGTGGCTTTCTGTACGACCCACAAAGAAAAGGACACCATCAAACAAGGAAGACACGCACCACTGGTAAATAGGCCAAAGCCAATGCTATCTGACGACTTCTGTCCCTAATGCTCCAAGGCAAGCGACTGTACCTGCGTTGCAACCAACACCGATGCAAATGCAAATGCAGGCCCTCGCGTACCGCAAGAGTTTTGCCTTCTTGATCTTCTTGGCCACTCCCGCCGGGATGGGCAAGCTGATGGACTCAAAGAGGCCCTGGCAAAGAGATCTGCCTTCCATCTGGCGAACTGTGCCACGTCCTTAAGCCAGAAGACCAAGCAATAGGAACGCGTAACGACCTCTTTTGAACCGGTACATGCGATTGATTCCCCTTCAACCCAAGCCCAAAATAGTCCATCTCGTTTTGACACACACCCATGGGCCATCTCGTTACAACTCTTGGACCCGGACCCGTGGGTGATCATTTGCGTCCGGCTTTCCCATTTGAGACGTATCGGATCTCGCCTGCAGCTTGTTGGCCCGCTTCACCAAGCCGTTGGCGAGAGTGTCCACCGCCTCGAGCTCGGAGGCCCGAGACGCCGGGAATTCCGTTTTGCCATTGGGTGGAAGGATCCTCGTCGTGAAGGGGTCGCCAATTTGGGGTCGCCAATTTTCTCACAAAAGGTGGCAACAAGACCCCCGTGACGGAAAGAAACCAGCAAATTGTTGTTGGTCAACGGGGATGCCCGCCGTGACAAATACGAGGAGTGCGGCGCTGGTTCTTGCAATGGCTCTCCGAATCTGTGCTGAAACACGGCACCTGCTCTCATTACAATTGCAGCTGTCAAAGTTTCTGGGAGCTGATTGAGACCACCCACTCCCCCTGCGGAATGAGAACCGCACAAGTAACAAACACCAAAAACTGGTGGATGCTGTCCATCCAATAGAGGCCCCCTTCTCATTCAGTGCCAACTCCAAAGATTCCAAGGGTCACCATTTTCGCCGCAGCCGTCCAAATCTGGGAGAGACGCGCAGATTCGCCAGATTGTTTTGGCGTTCCATTGAAAATACGACAAGCAATACGTGCCAGATTGACTTTTCCTTTCCAAACACAGGTCGCGTTGTTGGAAAAATGGTGGCCCCACACACTAACATTGAGAAAAAAACTTGGGGGGGGGGGGGGCGAAGGAGAAGGAGGGAGAAGGGGTGGTGGAAAACCATGTTCAAGAAGGGACTGTTTGGTTCCAGTGGCTTCAGGAGGGTACCGACCGCACCTCGGGCTCCAAGGAGAAGAGTGGCCCACGCATCCACTTCTTCTCCTGACAAGCTGGCAGGGTCAGATGGAGGACCCTCACACATAGCCCACTGCTGATTTCCTTTTAAAACGGCTAGTCCCCCCTTTCCTTTTTGTGGGGCGGTCCCCAATCTGAGGACCCTCCCCCCCCAAAAAAAACAACAAAAACAAGTTGCTCCCGGCACGCTCGCTGGTTGCCTGCCGGGTTTTTGCTGGTCGCAGGGGACCGAGCCTCACTGGTGAAGCGGTACACCAGCTCCCAGAGGTCATCGTAGGGCTGCAATTTCTCGATGGCCTGGCGGCCCGGTGATGGTTTGTGCACTTATATGTGTATACATATATGCATATATACATGTATACATATATACATACATGTTCATGTATGTATATGTATATGTATATGTATATATGTATATATATCACAAGGAAAACCACCATTCATTCTTTTGACACATGCCCACATAGTCATAGACTAGCACTGACATAAAGTAATTCACATGGCGCCGCACTTGAAAATCCGCCGACCCCATGCCTGGTCCAGAATGGACCATGCTTTGGGCATGGGGGCGGTGTGTTCTGTGTTGCTTTTGTTGATATGCTTTCTATAAGTTTAATGTGAATATGATTATGTATATATATATATATAACCTATATGTCCCTTGGGGCGGCCCTTGGGGCTGGTTTCTACGTCGGCTGGATTTCTGGATTTCTGGATTTCTGGATCTCTGGATTTCTGGATTTCAGGAATTCTGGATTTCCCCACCCCTCCCCCCCCCTCCCCCACCTCCCCCCCCCCTCCCCCTTCCCCCCTCCCCCCCCCCCTCCCCCCCTCCCCCCCGTAAGTCCTCCGGCTTCCCGTAGTCTTCCCTTCCGTACTTCCCGTAGTCTTCCGTAGTCTTCCAAGCTTCTTCCCGTAGTCTTCCGAAATCTTTCAAGCTTCTTCCCGTAAATTTCCGCAATCTTCCGGCTTCTTCTCCTAGTCTTCCGATACTGTTTCGGGACCAAACAACGCGCGTGTCCTGTGCTTTCGGGCTTCTTCCCTAGGCTTCGGGTAGTCTTCCCCCACCCCTCCGCCCCCCCCCCCCTGTGTCTGTCTATGTCTGTCTACGTATCTGCATCTGTCTTCGTGTCCGCGAAGACCCCCCCTGCCCCTGCGTGTCTGTCTGTGTCTCTTTGTGTCTGTCTGGGTCTGTCTGCGTCTGTCTTCGTGTCCGCGAAGACCCCTTGCGTGTCTGTCTCTGTCTCTTTGTGTCTGTCTGTGTCTGTCTGTGTCTGTCTACGTATCTGCGTCTTTCTTCGTGTCCCCCCCCCCCGCGTGTCTGTCTGTGTATTTGTGTCTGTCTGGCTCTGTCTGCGTCTGCCTGCGCATCTGCGTCTGTCTTCGTGTCCGCGAAGACCCTCCCCCCCCGCTGCGTGTCTGTCTGCGTGTCTTTGTGTCTGTCTGTGTCTGTCTACATATCGCGTGCTTTTTCTCGTCCCGGGCCGAAATTCTAAGGTGTGTGGGGGCGGCGGAACCAGGCCGCAGGCCATTAAATATGTGTCAATTCAGAACTGAGTATGTTTCTGACAGTTAAAACTGACGGCAGTGTGGACACGCGGCTGTGCAGTCGATTGAACGCAAAATGATCCTTACTTGAAGGGTGGCCTAGTCATGTTGCCCAAATTATCATCTCAAAGGTGATGCATCATCTAAATCGTTGGAATCATTTCTTCCATCAGCCTCAAAACACCAGATGCCTGGGAGATCAGATGTTCATCTTGAGCTCAAGATATGGCCATGTCTTCTACTTGAGGACTCTTTGGACATCATACACATGGGGGTTGATAAAAAGGTCCGTGATACATGGGACGACCCTTGGTTGGACAACCAAAAGAAAGATTTGATATAGTTCAACCACATGGAGACGGGTTAACCATGGTGAAAACTGGGGGCCTTTAACGGAACAAAGCTCTCCCCACTCGGCACCTCCGTGAGCTTCTCGAAGTCCGATGGATCCCAGCCAAGCATCACCTCCGGATAGGTCCGTCCGCGACTTCGCGGAAAACAGGTGTGTCGCTTCGAGGGGACCCACAAAATGGCGGTTCCCTCCGTTTCCATGTTAAACCACTCAAGGGTACCCTCAAAAGAAGACACCCGCAGTGGGTGGCGTGTTGAGTAGAACCAAACTGAAACCAGTACGAAACACCAAGCTGACCGTTCGGAGCACTCCAATGTCTGGGATCAGTCAACCCTGAGCCTTGAACTAGCTCAGTCAACAAGGCCGGGAGTATAAGCTTCAATCGTTCCAGCACCCACCAGGGATGACCGCATCTGACTGAATCCACATTTGAAGGGCATTTAAGATACTATCTCGCATTGGGATAGCTCCTCAATGTAGAAAAAATAAGCCTTCCACCATGCTCGCATATGACGATCCCCCCTGGCGCTAAAGCCAGCACAACCTGTAGTCATGCTTCAGTAGCCTTCAAATGGTCACCATCAACCTTGTTTGCTGAGGGGAAGTTGTTACACAGAGGTGCTTTGCGTAGGCCGAACCTTTGTCAAAAAAAAAAAAAACAGATGGCCATTGGCCATGGACATGTCTGCCTCCTTCTCGCGGTACTTTTCAGCTTCATAGCGCGCATGCTCCAGGTGCTCCTCAAAAGCCAAATGGATCGGGCGTGTCTCGGTTCTGATGGTTCGATTGAAGAAACAATCAACTCCACCGCAATAGGCAGCTCCCAAATTGGACATGCTGGACACATTTCCGCGTACAGCACTCAGGGACCAACAGAACGGTTGTGTGAAGCGCAAGCAAACATGGCACGAAGGGTGTGGGTTTTTGTTTGTGGCCTCCGTGCCCACTTCCATGTGGTTGAAGGAGGGTAGCGAACCCTAGAAAAGAGGCGCCTCTCTTTGTTTGCGCCACTTACGTTCAACTTACTACAGATTGGGGAGGAGCAACAGTGCCTTTAAAACGGGTGATCGAGTGCAAGGCCAAGCCTTCTCACACCAAAAGTATAGCCAGCCAAAGTGCAGAATCACGATTCAGTTGCATAGGCACCGAGTAGTTCTGCCAAACTGACACTTCCTCTTTCACATAGGATCCCCGCCTCTACCTTGGTCATCCTTGGTCATCCTTGCCCTGTCTCTCCGGCTCTTTTCAAGCCAAATGCAAAGCTCTGGAGCGCGTCAAGAAGCACTGGCATGGCCAAACTACTTGACCTCCAGCATGCGCTGACCGCCGAGCTGAATGTGACAAAGTCGCCCCGCAGGCGTTCCAAGGCCATTTCGCGGAGCAGCTCCAGGACGTGCCGCCACTGGGCGGCTTCACAGGCGCTAAAGCAAGCATTGAAGGTCACGAGATTCGGTCGGCTCAGCTGGCCAAACATGGCCCCAGCTCGCCGCCACTGCCTTGGATGAAAACACTCCCGAACACCGTTTCAGGGGGTTCAAACTGGGGAAAACTGATTCAGAAGTTGCCAAAGGTTGACCTCAGCTGCGTTGAGAGTGCGCTGAGGGCAGCATTGCAAGCAATCAGGTCCGCCTCGAGGCCATGCGCGGTGATCTCCCGCAGCAAGCCGCCGGCACGAGTCCAAAGACCCCCTCGCAAAAAGGTCCCCACGACATGGAACCCGAGGGGTGCAAAAAAGAAGGAGCTTGTTGGGGTGCCGTGGCCATTTCCAGAGTATCCCTCTGCAGAGAAAGGCTGGGAAAGAAAGAAGACTGATGCCACAGAAAGGCACTTTCTGCACATGCACTGATGGCAGCACCACAGGTCAAGAGGTCCACTTTTACCTGATCTCGCTGAACGAGGATCAGCAGATTCACAGACAAGGCCCACTCTGTGGCCTTTTCACAAGCATTGACCGCTGCGCCATAGGTGACCGCATTCACCCGCGTGTGGGTGTGCTGGATCAGTGACAAAGCTCTTTCCCACTCCTTTGCAAGGCCGCAGCTGCTGATGGTGGTGTTGAAGCTGATCACGTCCGGTTCCACGGCGTCTTCGCCCAAGCCGTCAAATATCACTAGGGCCGTTTGCCACAAGCTGCATCCCTCACACGCGCTCATGGCAGCATTGTAAGTGATGACGTCCGCCAAACGGGTGCGTCGAGCCTCGGCGAGAAGCAACATGGATGCCTGCGGCTGGCCAGCTTTCTCGCAAGCCGAAATAGCGGTGTTGCAGGTGATGGCATTGTATCCAGTCACAATTTTCGCTGCTTCCAGCAAGGCCAAGGCGTGGCGCCACCTCCGCGTGCTGCCGCAGCCGCTCATCGCGGCGTTGTACACCGCGGTGTCCGGCCGCGCGGCCCCGCGCGCGCTGAGGCCGACGGCGCCGACGGCGCGGCGCCACTGTGCCGCGCGGGCGCAGGAGGTGATCGCCACAGAGCAGGCGATGGCGTCCACACGCAGCAGCCCATAAACAAGCGCCTGAAAGCGGCGGCTTGGAAAGGACGAAAAGGGTGCAGGAGACCTAGTCCAGACAAACTGGACTGTTCAAAGTGGAGTGTTGGCCAATCCTAATCCATCATCTGAGTGGAAAACCACCACAAAGGGGTCCGGTTCCTTGCGCAACTCAAGGTAAGGATCCTCCGGATTGCCTTTGAACAATCCATCCAAAACTTGCTCGTGCTCAGCCGTGAATGAGAAATGGAATGACCCCTATAGACCATCCCGAGTTGGTTTCCTTTCGAGAATCCCCAGGTTCATTCCCTCCCTCCCTATCGCACCAGGAAAAGAATGTCAGGCCTCCAGCAGCCTCGTGCCCAAGGCCCAGCCTGCTTTGGCGCTCACTGCGCTGTAGCTGCGCACATCCCGCCTGATCCCTTGGACAGCGAGATCCTCGAGTCGGTGGAGGCCCTGCTGCCAGGAGCTGATGCGGCTCACGCTCCTGGCACCTGGTCAAACCGATGGGTGTAAGGAATCCATTACATAGGTCCAAAGATCTGGGTCGATGCCCTTCCCAAGTTGATGAGTATCACTATCACCAAGTTGACAGACCATTACCGCCAACCCCAAGCGGATCTGATGGCACCTGCTGTCAGATCCAGAGCTGGGCGCCACTTTGGTCCCACGTCCCTCGTGTGAACTGGCTCGAAAGGCATCTGAGAGATGGGACACCTTCTAGCGAGGGCTTCTTTGAGCCATACATCGAGGCCGCAGCCTCAAGAGTGCGAGTCTGGCTTGACGTAAATGTTTCTTGGTTGTAACGCGATATCGTTGAAAATGTGGCCAGCCCACATCGGCAAATGGCTCATAGCTCTCAAGGTGCCATTTCAGCAAGTGCCCCATTTCACCAAGCTAAGTCTGTGATCTCCAACCAGTCGGTTGAGCCGGGTCCTGACCTCAGTTCTCCAAATCCGAAACGGGGGCTAGATCAGAAGGGTTTTTGAGGAATGCCCAGATTGCACACAAAGTCTGGCGTTTGTTTATTGTTGTTGTTTGTTTGTTTGTTTTCAGTAATAAATGTAACTTCCTGGCTCAAGGTTTGCACACAAATGGGGTGGGGCACTTAAACCTTTATGGTTGCACTTGTTTTCACATGTTCTTAGGTTTGTCTGGATTGACACTGACTGTGACTGTGACTGTGATTGTGGTGGCAATATTCCAAGAGAATAAGGTGGAATCCCAAACGGATAACAAGCGAATACTGAACGAATACTAAACTGACAAACTAATTGCATTGTGCGTGAATGCCTGGCCTGAACGCAAACATTGAGATGGCCCTGTCACAATCAAAACACCTTGGTATGCAGCAGTATGACAAGACGCAAAAGAAGGTTCAGTGCACCCCATCCATGCCCAAATGTGTGCTTCAACCTTTCCCCAGCCATACTCACACCAATCATCACCTCTTCTCTGTATGATGTTCTGATGACAACGGGTGACGTGAAGCGACAAAGTCGTACTTTCTATCTTAGTCCTTGAGAGCAAGGATATGCTCCAGGTGGTCGTCCATCTGCTTCAAGTTTCCAGCCTCTTTAAACCTCAAGTTGGCGCGGATCAAAACCTAACTCCTGACTTGGAGGGACAGGCCGCTTGGCAAGTTCTGCGTGCTCATGAATCACAACAATTGTCAGCCGTGAAAGCCCATGCATGTCTGTGTGAGGCACTCAGTCTGTCTGAAGCACTGAGAGACTGTACTATGAAGGGGGGGTCCTGCACCCGTGCGATAAATTTATACATATCATATTCTGCAAAGTATGTGAAATGTTCCAAGAAAGAAGGAGACACCAGGGATATAGGAGGTCCATCAACAGTTGCTATCTTGCCGAAGGCCGGAGATAGCTTTGCGTCCCTCTTCACGGACCCAGTTCAGGCTTTGTGCTCCGCACTAACCTAGGCCCCGGCTTGTTGACCATGTTCAGGTAGCCTGTAAGGTCATCTTCGAAGGTCGTGCGATCCTGGACAAATGACACAAGTGCAAAGCCGGCAGGCGAGTTACCTTGAGGACAAGGCAAGTCGGGCAAAACATGTCGCAAAAGCACGGCAGTAGCAGAAACAACAGCAGCCGTTGCTGCTTCTGTCGTATCTGAGGACACCGTGAAAGCATGGCCAAGTGCGCATATCGGGTCCCACCGGGCCAAAACGACCAGCATGCAGGAATGGCAGAGGTGGCATTCACTTGACTTTCGTGTTGTGTGATACGTGGAAACGCCGGCTTGAGCACGTCGAGACTGTCCCGCTTGAACTTCTTCTCAATGGTGTCTCGCTCAGTCCTGGCAGCAGGGCTTGATGCCTAATAACCTGACAAGCCCTTGGTCACTCCTGTGTGGGAGACACACAGAAAGTGTCTGGCTGCCATCATCTCGCGTATCAAGCACGCAAGAAACCTGCGTATGATTTCTGAGCAGAAATCAAGCTTTGCAGCCAGAAGGGCACTTCACATGAAAGTACGAACTTCCAAAAGCTGTACCCCTTCAACCACTCCCCAAATGCTCTTTTGGCTCCTGAGAGATTGCTCTTTCGAGAGCATCTTGGAGTCGATTTGCTGCACCCAAACCGCAGTGTCCACGATGGCCTGTGCGGAAACGTGTTTCGGCAAATGGGATGTCCTTTGGGAAAAATCGATGGCACTGGCAAATGAGTAAGACAAACCTGATATATTTGTTTCAACCTTGGCTTGGGCTATTCAGCACGAAACGCCTCACCAGTTTGCTAGGGAGGTGTCTGTTTGACAAGACTTGATGCAAAACGGTGCGAACTACTGATTGGTGGGAGCCACAAGCAGCCTTTGTCCGCTACAATAGCACTGCGACACGTCCATTTGTTTGCAATTGAACGCGTCACAGCGTCAATCGATTGCTCCAGGATGTCTCAGTTTTCATGTGATGGCCGTTGCAGCTTGCCCATCTCTGGACCTGGAGCGACTCACATGCCCGCCACAGTATCTTTTCTGCTCCGCGCCAGCCAGTCTCTACAGCTCGTGCATAAGCCATCGCTGTTTCTGAGCGCGGCTCAGACATGCTTCCAAGCTGTTCGGTTCTTGAATTTATCCTGTTCCTCTCACAAGTAAAGCGCTGCTTCAAGCTCAACCAAATTGACCATGGCTCGCAATTGCAGCAGCTTGGTCAGAGCCTTTTGCCAGCACGCCGAAGATGTTTTTGCGCGTGGAAGAATGTCCATGAGAGCGCGGAAGCCCTACTGATCGGCATGAGTGCACGTCTCTTCAATCTTCTAATGGCTCTAAGAGCATCAGAAGGCCACATCCGGCATGGCGGCTGGCGCAAGCGCTTCAGCCTCCTCTGGCACAATCCAGAAGACCTCAGCTGGAGTTGAACGCTGAAATCGCCCGTTGCTGAGACACCGAACATGCAATTGCTGCTTCGGGTGGCCGAAGCGAGATGCCCGTTCGCGACAGAATTCACATTGCATACCCACATCTTCAATAGCAAGTTGGTGGGTAGGGCAGGAGCCACTTGCCACCGAGCATCCTGCACATGGAACAGGTCCGGAACGCTTGCAGAAGGGTTCCGGTACCAAATGTAGTCCACCTTCTTAAAGCCGTTTGCAGTTGCCTCGTAGAGCGCGCCCGTTGAATGATTTGTTAGGGAACACACTATCTATGTCAAACAAAGAGCAATCAAGGCATCGCGTGAATCGTGCCAGCTCAATCCATGAAGAAAAACTCTCCGCGCAGCTTGCCTGCCTCATAGCAAACAAAACTGGAGCCCCATGTTTTGAAGCAAAGTCAACATGCGCATCCTGAGGCGCGCACAACCAGCTGAATTTCTCGTCGGACGTCCTGCGACAGGCCGTGATAGGCAACACCAGAGACGCGGTGAAAAAGAAAGAGAAGGGAAAACCACGGTGGAACCGAAGGGAACCCAAGGGAGACCATAACATCAATTCAGCCCTAATGAGCTGGGAAAGTTCCAGAAATGATTGACTCTCAGCTCTGTGCTGATCTATGGCCCTCGTTCCATACCAACAAAATGGGAAATGGCCAAACTCAGGGGGCCTCTTTAGTACAGCATCGTATTTTAGGGCACCAAGTGTCTCATGCTCTGGCTGTCACTGGATCTTCTTTCCTCAAGTGCATTAACTCTGTTCCTCTCGCTTGAGACCACTCAAGAAAAAGCAGAGTGCTCGCTTCGCAACCCTCACGCCCTTTCCACAGAGTTCAGGGAAGCAAAGCTTTAGGCAGGTGCCCAAACGTAATTTATGTGCCTAAACCAACAAAAAACCAGCCAAAGGCTGCTTTCCTCTCGCAGGATTGGTCTGGTTGCCGACTAATTCAAGAAGCAGCAGGAGACGCATCTTGAATCAGCGTCAAAAAATCAGCGGCATTGCACGACCCAAACATGATCCTATCTCCAGCCCCGCTGCCTCATCGATTTGATCATCCGGAAAATCTGGGACCTGCACGTCAAGGGCTGGCAAAGTGCGGCAAACAGGTGGGATGAAGTAACAAGGCAGCAGTTAAAGCGCCAACACTCCGCACCCCCCACCCCGCCATTCCAGCACAAACATCCCTTCTCGGTTTCTTCATCAGTCAGTGTACCCCCACATCCGTGTTGCTCAAATCGCAGAAACGCAAAGCTGAAAGCATGCCGCATCTGTTCGAACTTTGCAAGCTGATAATGCGGTGCCAAACTCAACCTCCACGGGGACTCGTCACAAACTCGCAGCTCCATTGGCAGCTTCTTGCAGGGCCGGATCCGCGGCAACGGTCAGGGCATCAGTCCGGAGATCACTTCACATCTCAAATCAATCCTGAGGAACATGGCCACAATTGGTATGAGGCATCAGCCTCGAGGCATCAGGCTCACCTTGCGGTGCTCAACATCCAATGAATCCGAAAGATCTTGGAAATGCGGTTTCGGGAGTCGCAAATGTTGAGAAATGGTCCAACAACTATGTCTCTACCAGGCGGGTTCGCAGAAAGCCCCGGCGATAAAAGAAATCTGAACTCACCGGAGCTGAGTAAAGGTAGAGCCCAGTGCACCCCCAATGGCCCAACAAGCATCACTAAACATGGAGGAGTTTGTTGGTCAAACAGACTTTAGACAAGCCACCCTCGTTTGCTCACGGCGTGTACAAATATATTGGAACTGGCCATTGTGAACGGATTCAATGGTTGCCTGCAACCATTTTGTGCCGGGCGTAGCTTTGTCCCACATTGAAAGCTTGTGAAACCCTCTTTCCTCGCTTTCAAAGCCGCAGAAAATCAGAGGAAACACACACGGAAAGATCTCTGGCATCCTAGTGTCTCAAACCCATGGGGACATCTTTCTCAACGATCCTCCTGACTCGGCACAAATACGGACGTCCCAAGCAGATCACTTCCACTCATGCAATCATCGGGTGTGTGTATACATGTATGTGTATATACATATATATATATATATATATCACGCTGCTTCTTGTCCAGCACCATCCGAAGCCTGTGGATTTCTTTCGATACGTTCAGGATAGTCATTGCCTATCCATGTGCAGGTGGCCTTCCCTGGCAGAGCAAGACGCAGCCAGTCAACTCCCAGCGGGGCGACGAACCGGCTAGCAAGCGGGAGCCCAGCGAGCACGTTGGCGCATTCGTGTCGCTGTCATCCACCCGGCACTGGTGGGTTGGCCTGAAACACCCGCCCAAGCCGTGGCAAACTGCGCAACGGCTTGCACTCGCCCTGCGTGCCCCACACCCGGCCAACAGTGTGCGGGATGCCTTCTCTCGTGCCACGGCACCCCTGGGTAGGGCCAGCAGTCTCCTCATTTTTCACCAAGTGCTGCCGCAGAAACACTGGACTGGTGCGTGTTAAGCTGCGAAACATCGGCGACATTCGACATTGCACAACAAACGGAGTCCAGACAGAGCGCTGGAAGCGGGATGCATCAGCGCAACGATTGTGCTTATCTGGGAATCATACGTTCCCAACACATTCGAACAATGACCTGGTAGAAAACCAGAACACTGGCACTGCCGATCGGAGCTACCTCGTTCCACAACTTCCTGACCTTGCAGCTCTGCACACCAAATAATTACCTTGAATCGAGCAAAACACGTGAAGCTCAAAAAACAGAAGCCTTTTCAAACAGCGCCTGCACACTGCATGAAGCCGTCCCTCAATATTCTGATATCGCAAGAAAAGCAATGCACAAGGCCTCGGGAAGAACCACCGGAGTCGGCGAGCGCTTGAGATCTTCCTGTGTGTGATGCTTCCGCCGCTGCCGTTTATGCTCAGCTGCGCGGCCGAATAGCGCCTGCCAGCTATTTGACCTCTTGCTGTTGGAAATATCTTTGCGGTTCGTCACTAAGTGGATCACGGTATCAGGAACTATGTGACACGCCAGTTGCAATTGTGGCAGGCGCGGCCAAAGCATTGCCGAGCAACAGTCCGTGACAAAAGGCGAATACACCTCTCTGCTCGCCTGTGCGATCCTGGAACATGCAACGGAATGTTGCCTTGGCCTTCCCTGGCAGAGCAAGACGCAGCCAGTCAACTCCCAGCGGGGCGACGAACCGGCTAGCAAGCGGGAGCCCAGCGAGCACGTTGGCGCATTCGTGTCGCTGTCATCCACCCGGCACTGGTGGGTTGGCCTGAAACACCCGCCCAAGCCGCGGCAAACTGCGCAACGGCTTGCACTCGCCCTGCGTGCCCCACACCCGGCCAACAGTGTGCGGGATGCCTTCTCTCGTGCCACGGCACCCCTGGGTAGGGCCAGCAGTCTCCTCATTTTTCACCAAGTGCTGCCGCAGAAACACTGGACTGGTGCGTGCTAAGCTGCGAAACATTGGCGATATTCGACATTGCACAACAAACGGAGTCCAGACAGAGCGCTGGAAGCGGGATGCATCAGCGCAACGATTGTGCTTAACTGGGAATCATACGTTCCCAACACATTCGAACAATGACCTGGTAGAAAACCAGAACACTGGCACTGCCGATCGGAGCTACCTCGTTCCACAACTTCCTGACCTTGCAGCTCTGCACACCAAATAATTACCTTGAATCGAGCAAAACACGTGAAGCTCAAAAAACAGAAGCCTTTTCAAACAGCGCCGGCACACTGCATGAAGCCGTCTCTCATTACTATGATATCGCAAGAAAAGCAATGCACAAGGCCTCGGGAAGAACCACCGGAGTCGGCGAGCGCTTGAGATCTTCCTGTGTGTGATGCTTCCGCCGCTGCCGTTTATGCTCAGCTGCGCGGCCGAATAGCGCCTGCCAGCTATTTGACCTCTTGCTGTTGGAAATCTCTTTGCGGTTCACGTCACTAAGTGGATCACGGTATCAGGAACTATGTGACACGCCAGTTGCAATTGTGGCAGGCGCGGCCAAAGCATTGCCGAGCAACAGTCCGTGACAAAAGGCGAATACACCTCTCTGCTCGCCTGTGCGATCCTGGAACATGCAACGGAATGTTGCATTGGCCTTCCCTGGCAGAGCAAGACGCAGCCAGTCAACTCCCAGCGGGGCGACGAACCGGCTAGCAAGCGGGAGCCCAGCGAGCACGTTGGCGCATTCGTGTCGCTGTCATCCACCCGGCACTGGTGGGTTGGCCTGAACCCCCCCAAAGCCATGGCAAACTGTGCAACGGCTTGCACTTGCCCTGCGTGCCCCACACCCGGCCAACAGTGTGCGGGATGCCTTCTCTCGTGCCACGGCACCCCTTGGGTAGGGCCAGTAGAGCAGACTCCGTCTGCCTTACTGTTGCATCATTTTAACAGGCTGTCTTCCTTTCCCACCCATCCTAGGAGTTCAATTGCCCCGCGAAGCAGACATAGCTTGCCAACTCCACAGATCATTGGACCAAGTCTGGCTGTTCATGCGGCACCATGGAGACGCAAGACCACCCAGCCGGGTTCCTTGTATGCCCCCTTGAAACATCACCATAGAAACTCCACTTAGGGTTTATCAAAGAAAAGGAACATGTACCAAACCAAGCACTTATTCAGGTGATAATATCGTTTGGTGATTACAATCAGAAAACGATAACTCTTGGATCGATCGCAGCAAAAACAAACACGTGTTCTGTGCAAGCCGTTTTGGCAGACCGGTTTTTGGTCAGTGCCTCCTCCCAGGGATAGTGGCAATACCAGAGCAGCCAGTGCTGCGCCGCCCGCTGCAGCGCATGGCTGGCTGGCCTGTGGACCCAAAATTTGGTGGGGAAAAGAAAAGAAAGCGACACATGGCTGTTGTCCGAAATAGGTCGTCAGAATGGCTTGCCCTGGCAAATGGAAACATGGACTAACCAGTGGTCTCCTGGTCTGGTGGTTTAACTTTGACCCATACCCACATGATTTCCGCAATATCTGAAGCGTTCAGGGAGGGTTCTGGAGGGTTTCGAGGGGATCCGGAACCCTCCAAATTAAAATACCCTTGTGTCCCTTTCATGCGGGACTCCCGTGTAAAACACCAAGCGTACAAAACCAGAAGGGTGCCAAAAAGCTTCCTCATCCTTGGGTTCTCGCTTCCACACATTGGTCTCCATATTGGCTGGGCCCTGACATCAAAATATGCCAACATTAAATCGGTTTACCTTTCTTTTCCGAAGGGAGGACACCCATTTCAACGGGAAAGGTTTCCCTAAGCCGGAAAAGGGCATCGTTGATTTATTTTCCGCTGGTCAAAAATGCTTCACAGAATGCGTGATACCCACGTTGCTACCTCAACGACAGCCGAGGGAGGAAAACAAGGCACCTCTTGGGCAAGCTGGTGACTCTTGAGGGTTCATGACTGCATGCAGCTCTTGCCGTATCATCGCGCGCTCTCTCTCTCTCTCTCTATGTGTGTATACATAAATATAATGTCAAAGTCTAACCCTTTCTTGCCCATTTCCAAAGGAAGCCAGCATGAACAGACAGTGCCTTCAAATCTGGCACTGTTGTTACACGGGGCTTGGCCCTGGACACTCCACACCCCCGACATGAACACTGGTCATGTGAGGGGGGAGCCGAATTTGGTCACGTTCCCGCAAGTGATCTTCAAGACTCAGAGGTCGCGGGATTCTTGATTTGTTGGTGGCTGCTTCGCAAGAGGTTCATGCGATGATGGGCTTGTCGCAAATTCCAAGCTTCTTAGCAACATTTATGCAAGGGCAAATTGCAGTGGGAACGTTCGAGCATATGGCCGTGGGTCAAAAGTACCCAAAACGGCTTGCCCTACATGGCAGCAAGCACTCAAGCCTGCGGTCCAATTCCCGGCCTTTTTGGACCCATCTCAAGGGTCCCGCCCATCTCTCAATTCGACACTTCGGCGCCGACCTCTCGGGCAGTTGGTACGGGTAGCGATTCGCGGCAAAGACGGGCTTTGGGCGAGGCAGCTCACCTTCCTTCCAGCCGCTGAAATCCGCCTGGCAACACGTCTGGCAACACGGGCCTTGGGTTGGTGGCTAGTGGAAACAAGGGAAATCACCCAAGAAAATCAACCGTGGGGAGTGCCGAATTTTGCCAAGATTAGTGTCAAGTATTCTGCACACTGAAGTGATTTGTTTAAAGCCAAGTTCCATGTGCCAAGCTGATGGCATTTGTGGCCATTCCGTTTCTGCCGTCTCCGTCTGGTCTGATCCGCCTCCATCCATTGCGGAGTTACCAGCTGGCCGTGCAGGTCTCGGAAGTCCGGCACGATGACTTCCTGAGCCCGTGTCAAGGCGCCAAACGCTCCGATCTCACGTCCCGTGGGATTTCTGGTCGACATCAAATTTACTGAGCCGACATGAAATTGATGCCCTGAAGAGGCTGCCCTATGCCGCCCTATTCAAATGGCCATGTTCAACACCCAAACACGAGGTCACTGGGCGATATGGAGCAAAATGAAACAGCGATTTGCACCCAGCCCGGTGCCAAGGATCGGGGCCAACAGGTCGCATAGGAATCTGGAACAGAGTATCGCACAGGAAGTCATACATCCTCGAGTGCTGGTCAAGCGGGCTGAGGGTCGGGTTCGCGACGATTCACCGAATGGCAAACCAAGAGTTGCGCAAAAGATTCTCAAGGCTTTGCGTGGAAAATAAAGTAAACACGGACCAAAACATGGAAAAGGCAACACGTGGACCAAATTGTAGGCCCTTGGTCCTTGACTAAACCTGGACGGAAAACCCTTCCAGTCAAGCTCCGTAGCTCACAGGCTCAGTCCTGACTCTCGGCCGCTCTTCTGGCGCCTGCGCAAAAGTGCAGCACTGGGAAGCCCCAAGAAAACCATTCCGGCGGTTCTTGGAAACCGCGCAGTGAGAGAGACTCTTCGACACGCGCATTCAGCATGAATAGGTCCTGCTTCGGCATGCCTTGCCCTGATGAATTCTGCAACCCGTTGCTTCCAGTTCAAGAACCTGCCCAAAAGCGTTTTCAAGATGAGAGAACCAAAGGCAGCCGGGCACATGTCCAGCCTCTTGTCGGTAGGAGAGCCTGACACTGGGCCCAGTGATCCCCAAATAGAACTCCAGAGCCGAACATCCAAATATAAAGAAGCGCTCTGGCTCAAGGATCACCGCATGTCAACGTTTCACAGGGCGAAATGAAGCTGGTGGCAGAAGTCCTCATCTACAGAATATATGTGCTTCAACTTCCCCAGAATATCTACTAGTATGGGGGACTGGTCATGTTCCTCCTTCATGGAAGCCCTTGGTTCATCCCACCCTTCTGACTGAAAAGAGTGTGGAAGTGCGTTTCCTGTAATCTTAGCCAAGGTTCCATTGGAATCGCCAAACTGGTCAGGGATGCTTCAAAGCGCAAAGACGGGCTCATGAAGGGGTTTCTGCGACACATGAAGCACCTAGTTTGGCCCTGGTTTGGTTTGGTTCTGGTTCATCAGGTGAGCGAACATCTGGAAGAGTTGATGTTGGCAGAAACTAAAGAGCTGCAAAGGGAAAGAGAAACACAGCGGATTATCATGCCTGCGAGCAACATGGATGAAATGTAAGAGGGGGCGCCGGCAAAGAAGCCGGATGAAATGCAAGAGGGGGAGCCGGCAGAAGCCTTAAAAGTGGATGAAATGCAAGAGGGGAGCTTGACTTGCCAGTTGTTTTTTGAAAGGCCAGTATGTTGTTCAGACAACCCCTCCCATGGGGCGATGGGATGGGACTATGAGCGACTGAGATGAACCGTTCCCCCAATATCTTCACAGGCTGAGCAAACATCCCACCCTACAACCGAAAAGAACCAATTGGGGGATGGATGAAAACCCCAGCTCTGACACATCCCCAAACACATCTTCAAAAAAAAGAGAGCAACTTTCCACTGAGTGTCCATTTGAGCCTCCCAAACAAAATTAACCCAGCATTGCGGCCCAACAGCTACACCATAACCTAGCCAAGGAAGTTGCCACTAAACTCAGCGCCCTGTTGCATCAAATTGGGTAGCGATTGCAGCAATGCGCATGACAGTTAAGAGCGGAAATCACACAATAGCGGAAACGCGTGTTTTTTTGCTAGTTTGAGTGGGGTAGGTATGGGTAGGTGGTACGCGGGGCAAGAACTTTGCCGAAATACGTTAGGAGGCTCTGCGCTCAACCTGAACCCTCCAAAAGAAATTTCCGTACTTGCAGAAAAAGAACGCCAATGTACACTTTTGAGGAAACTTGACGGAAATCGCTTTTGGCAGGCTGTGAGCGTTTGTGGGGCACATGGATGCACATGAACACAGTTTGCAATTTACATGGCCCGTCACACTTAATTCCGTTTCAGGTCATTCGTCTCCTATTGCTGTGGGGCGACATGTGACAGCTTCCTTGCCGCTTTTGTGAGTTTGCAGTTTTCTCAGCCAAAATTTAAAAACAAGAAATGCAAGGAAATCGGCGGTAAATGCACGCACATTGGCGGGAAAAGTACGGAAATCTGCGGAAAAAGTACGGAAATCTGCGGAACGTTTGCTTGGCCAAATGCGCACCTTTTATCCGTGGTGAATTGCACACCTTCAAATAGCTTTTCTTGGCCCATGAGCATGACAATCGCCTGTGCCAGCGCGGGAGCTGAACGTGAGATTCTTGTAGAAACAGCCGTTGAATGCTCCATGCTCCTGTGTCTTGCGTTGAGTCTGCCAGAAAAGTACAGTTTTTGCTCAAATGTATGGATTTCAAGGAAATGCACGGATTTTTGCCGACAGTCGCACAAAAAGTGCCCTTGGTTGGTCCACGAATGCGCCACACTTATCAATGGTGTGATAAACGCATCAACAATCGGACACAGAAAGGCTGGGGCAAATGATTCCCTTGCGCAGCCTAAAAAGTCCGACCTCCCCTCACTCTCCCTCTCCCTCCTTCTCTCCCTCCCTCCCTCTCCCTCCCTCTCCCTCCCTCTCCCTCCCTCTCCCTCCCTCCCCTCCCTCCCTCCCTCCCTCCCTCCCTCCTCCCTCCCTCCCTCCCTCCCTCCCTCCCTCCCTCCCCTCCCTCCCTCCTCCCTCCCCTCCCATGCGGAGAATACAAAGACATTGTTTAATGTGAGATGTCTAACTATGTTTAAGCCTGGTTCCGTCCGGCCGGTAGGGAAGTTCCATCTGTTTTGTCGCCGTGTATATTGTTAAAATCGAGGAAAAAACAAAAACCATGAAACATCGAAAAGTCAAGGCTCTCCGCGAATTGTGGTAGGAAGTATGCTACAAACAAATGGACTGTTATAGTACTTACTTCAGCATAGTAACGTGTATTTGGGTGGGATTGGGGATGAAACTTGCAAATGCCAAGGCTCATCCAATGCCAACACGGTAAACATTGTGAATTTAACACATCGAAAAGTGCGAAACGCGCGAAAACTCAAAGAACACAAACGAACATTCAAAATTCAAAATCGGAAAAAACACATAAACATTTGAATGACAAACGCGACGCGTGAACATTCAACAAACAACAACAAAAATGCAAAACATCTGGAAACACAACTGGCGCGACAAATCCGGAAAAGCGGCAACCCGAAAATTCGCAAAAAGCTGACAACTCAAGGAGAAAACAGGAAAACTCGAAATCTCATCATGTTTGTGTTTTGTTTCTCATGTTTTTGAGTGCTCATGTTTTTTTGAGTTTGCACCTTGTAGTTTCAAACGAGATCCATTTGGGAATTGGTTGCTGGCATGTTGTTGTTTTTTTCCATTTTTGTTTCTGTTAAATTTTGCATTTACTGCGTTCTTTTGTGATTCTTTAGATGTCCTCGAAATTCCTCGAATTTTCATGCGAATTTCCAGAATGGGACTGTCCCCTACTATTATTGTAAAGACTTACTCCTAGATTTACAGAACTTAGTTTAGCGCTGCCAACCCTAAATTTAGTATTGCCGAGACTGAATCTTCGGTTTCCAGTACTTAACTTAGCGCTGGCAATTTTAAACTTTAGAATTGCCAAGGCTTAATCTCAGACTCCCACCTGTTGAAATTGAATCTTGCGGTCCTTGGTTGTTGTGCATTTGCTGCCAGTGATGGTCAGGGCTGATGGCCCTCCTCCTAGTTCGCAAATGCACCCATGCCGTTGGCAGCAAATTTGTAGAGCACATGGTGCATGCGTGTCTGTCATGTAGCAGCCCTCAATATATCCTAGAACCTCTGTGAATGTCCTGTGTTTTGTATGTTTCCATGAATGTCCTGAGTTTTCTATGGTTGGCCAATGAATGTTCTATGAATTGTCTATGCGTGTTCTACGCGTTTTCTATGCATGTTCCATGTATGTCCTATGCGCTTGTGCATGCACTTTTTATGCGTTTTGATTCTTATGAACTATCTACGTATTTCTTACGCACTTTCCCTGGGTTTCTGCGCGCTTTCTATGTGCTTTTTCAAAATGAGTGAACACGTGCATAGAACATGCATAGGCAATGCATCGGCAACGCAGATAAACTTCATACAACATGCATGAAAATCAAACAACTATCTTCAGACACTTGCCCGGAGTTTAGCCAAAGGAATGTTGATTGTTTCAACAGTGAGGGTCAGATTGGCCATGTAGCTCAACCATGTCCCAAATGCAAATCCAAAACGCACACACTAAATCCAAGGTTCAGTCTTGGCAAAAAAACAAGAATTGCCAATAGTAGGGGACAGTTCCATTCTGATGGGAATTTTTGAAAGGAAACTCGAGGACCTCCAAAGTTTGCAAAACGGAACGCAGCACATGCAACATTCCAAAGAAACTCGAAAAACACAAACAAGAACAACATGTCAGCAACCATGTCCCACATGAAAATTCAAAACAGGAGCCCAGTACATTCGGGATCGCCAAGAAATCGCGAGAAGTCACAAAAAGGCGAGGAAAAACAAAAGTCCCAACATGTCAGCAACCATGTCCCACATGAAAATTCAAAACAGGAGCCCAGTACATTCGGGATCGCCAAGAAATCGCGAGAAGTCACAAAAAGGCGAGGAAAAACAAAAGTCCCAACATGTCAGCAGCCATGTCCCACATGGACATTCCAAACAAATGCAGAATGCCAAGCAAAAAACAATAAGACAAAACACAAAATATGCCAGCAACCATTTCCCAAATGGAAGTTCCAAAGAAACCGTCAGTGTATGCTACCCACAAATGGAGCAAACAAAAACACTTCAAATCCTGTCCCTTTACACAATGTCCCTTCAACCTGTGCCAAACTTCGAGCACCTATGCTACCCGCACAAACGGAGCAAACAAACATATTTCAAGATTTTTGTCATTTCAGCCACACCAGGCAGCCCCTCTATCAAATCCTGTCCCTTGACAAAATGTCCACTCAACTTGTGCCAAACTTCGAGCACGTATGCTGTCCACACAAGGGGAGCAAATAGAAAACTTATCATTATGCTCTTTCATTCCGGATCGCGCGTCTGCCACCAGATCCTTGCATTTTCCAGATTTTTCAAAAAAGCAGCGCCGCCCCATCCACCCACACCCACCCATTACGAATTGCGTACCCCGTTCCCTCCCCCCGTAACCGAACCCTTGCATTGCCCAACTTTCTAAAAAAAGCAGCGCCGCTCCCCCTACCCCTCCTACCCGTTCCGGATTGCGCACCCCGTTCCGGATCGCACCCCCCCTTCCGAACCCTTGCGTTTCCAAAATGTCTTAAAAAAGCAGCACCGCCATGCGCCGCCCCCTCTTCCCCTCCTACCTGTTCCGCATTGCGTACCCCGCTCCGGATCGCTCCCCCCTCCTCCAAAAATAGTAAAACATTGGTTGAAAGAAGTAAAATAGAAATCATAACAACCAAATACAAACATAAAATAATTCCCAAAATCTTGAAAACAAAACAGACAACAACAATCATCAAATCATAACAGCATAAACATTCATCATAATCAGATAAAATCATAACAGCACAACAACAAACAAAAAACAACTCAACCCCCTAACTTCCTTGAAACTAAAAATCTCAAAATAATATCCCCAAAATTAACCCAAATATTTCCCAACATAAATCTTACAATTTAATTTTAGTGTAAGGTTTATGGTG